CAAACTAAAAAGCAAGAAAAAAAAGTTGAGATTAATCTTCTCAAAGTGGAAGGGGTGGCAGCTGAACAGGAAGCTCATTCCATTCTCGGGTGAGCAGCTCCAGCTTTTGTGTGAATGGATGTAAACTCATGGAGTCATCGGGAAGAATGCAGCTCTCAGTCCCAATAAATACATAGGGGCAATATGCCAGTTGCTGTGAGTTTGCCTTTAGAATGACTATTTCTTCATTTAGACTAAACTTAATCAGCTTAAATTTAGCCACTAAGAGCTGGCTGTCATCAGTCCAATGGCATGGTGGCTTAAAAGTGATATTCCCTTATTTTTGAGCTGCACTACAAAGTCAACACTGATGATGCTACCTAGTTAGAGTAATGAAAAGTCTGCAAGAAAATAAGCAAGCTCAGAGAGGACCCCTCATTTCAACCATGAGCTACAAATATTCTCCTTCAAAGTCAACACAGTCTAAGTCAGTATTACTGGGTGCTGAACAATTTAAGCTGTGTCACTTTTGGTCTTAAGGCAGCCCCAATGTCTCCTTGCTTCTTAGACTGCATTTCTCATAGCATTAGATTGTGCAAAATTGCTTTGATACTCTTGATGTTTCTGAAAAACAAAGTACTGGCATTCAGGATTTTTCTTCTTTTCATGTGATACCCTGCTTATTCTGCTTTGCTCCTTGGAATGTTTTACAAAAAAATGGATTGTTCACAGGCATATAAAAATTGTAACCTCTATAAATAAATACGTACACATATAAGTACATATTTTCTCACAATACATGACTGAATGTATTTTATTCCAAATCTTAAGGCAATGAATTTTGCCTTAAGGCAGATCTTAAGGCAATGAATTTTGGATGCAACAGATGAATTCTTGTGGTATTTACATCATTTAGGTCATTTGCATAATTACATCATTTGCATCAATTTGTGTCATTATGCAATTGACATGAAATGACACAAATATAATTTGCATAATAACATTGCTGTTGATGACATACTTTCCGATTTAATGGACAATCAGGAATAATGGACACCCCCATCCCTCTAACTGGTCCATTAAACTACAGATTTTGCTTTATATTTTTCCCTAAAAGTTAAATTTTAAATGCTTTTTAATACATGTTTTAGAGTTGAAAACTGCAATGCAAAATTTACAGAAGTGCAAAATTCACACAGTACTGTACAGTCTTGTTTATATATTAGACCAGAGCATGCAGGTTGTCCTCATTTAATGACCAACATTGGTCGTTAAGTGAAGCAACTGCAAAATGAAACTGCAACCCTGCTTATAACCTTACTTCAATTTTCCCTTGCTTTACAGACCTGGGCAAAGGTCACAAATGCGAGGACAGGTGAGGATAAGTTACTCTTTCATCTTCATTGTAACTGCAAACAATTGTTAAATGAGGCAGTTGCTTAACAAGCATTACCTATATAGCTCAAACGTGCAATGAAATTCACAGAGAATGAAATATTTAAGCTTCCTTAGCTATGCGAGTGAATCTATCCAATTCAATTCCTTGCTATGAAAGTTACGAATGATGTAGGATTCTGAGCTGTGGAGCATCTGCCTGGGGAAAGCATCAGAACAGTCAAGATGGTGACTGCAATCACACAGTTGAATGCCTGTTCTTTCTTTATGAGCATTATGAAGAATAAAAAAGAAAGAAGGCACTTATTATGCTTTTATACCAGGGGTCCCCAATCTCAGCCATGGACCGGTCCCAGCCACACAACTGGAGGTGAGCAGCAGGCGAGTGAGGAAAAATAAAACCAATTCGCTCCCACCAGTTCCCTGTGCCAAAAAGGTTGGGAAACCGCTGCTTTATGCTATCTATTCTGGTTCCACTCCTTCCAGGATGTGGTCCAATCCAAATGTAAAAGCAACAGTCAGAACCACCAAAAGACAAATTCCATGGTGGGCCCGCCTTGGTCATGGTGGCTTGGAATTCTGTTTTAGTACCAGCTCATCAGAGGAGAATCATGTTTAGGGAGGCTGCTTTGAATGCTAGGCACAATTTCGAAACAGAACCCTTGTCCAATGGCTGTTAAAAACAGCATGCAATATCAAAAGAAGCGGAGGATCCTAGAAATCTCTGAGAGAGGCAGATATATTCCCAGGAGAAATGCTCATCTCCCCCAAGAGCAATCCAAAGGAAAAGCAAGTAGTTAAGCTGCTTTTTTTTTTTGCTCTAAAAACATTTCTGAGCAGAGGTAAAATGCAGCTTATAGGAGGAAAGAAGTTTATTTGGTTACCTGATTTAGAATGAATGAGCTGGAAGGGACATTCAAGGTCTTTTAGTCCAGCCCGCTACTCAAGCGGCAGAACCTATACTACCTGTTTATAGCCTACCCAATGAGAAGAGCAATTTTCTATCTCTGCATTGTCTGCAATCTTGCAACTTTCTGCTACTCTTTATCTTTTGCTTCTGATATGAAGACCACAGGGGGTGGGTTCTAAATTTTTTTACTACCGGTTCTGTGGGCGTGGCTTATTTTGTGGGCATGGCTTGATGTCATGTGACAATGATTTAGGATTTAGCAGAGGTACTGATCTACCAGGCTTTTAACTGCTTGCAGAGCTGTATCGATCTACCCATTTATTTTTGCAGGCACTGATCTACTCATGCATTTTTGCAGGCACTGGTCTACTCATTTGTTTTCTTTTAACACTGATCAGCTGTAGGGCGGCCCTTTGAAGCCCCTTGGCAAGAGTTTAAACAGTTTTTTTTCCCTCTAGCCATCAGCTGGGACTCAGGAGGCAGCAATAGATTGCGGGTGGGGCCAAATAAAAGGTAAGAATAACACGGGGGGTGGGGGGGGCGTGGGCGTGGGGGGGCAGAACCAGTTCAGTGATGTCATATCGTCACCGCTACTGGCTCGGGAGAACTGGGCCAAACCGGGAGGAACCCACCACTGGAATGCCTCCATCTCCAGAGCTAATGGTTAAAAATTAAAAATAGCCCTTAGTGCACTAAGCAAATGGGTTCTCCGATTCTGCCTCATATACCCTCTGGCAATCCATCCACTTCATCCCAGGAAAAAAAATATTTTTAAAATCACGTTCAGCAACATTATCCAAATATCATCTGCTTCCTGCCATTGATTAAAGAAACTTGGCATTTTGGCATTTAACAGAGGCTAAAGTATAGCACCAGTTTATTAATAGTGGAAATTGCTTGCTTCATCCTATACTAAAATAATCAACCCCACAGCACATCATCTGCTTACTTCTGGAGCCAAGATCAGAGCAAGCTTTTCTGAGCCTCAGGGCTAAGGATTTGAAATAGATTCCTTCTGCCTTTGTTGATCTCTCAAAAGACTGTTTAGTTCTCTGTAGAGTTCAACTTTGGAAAAATATGATTCATGCCTTTCGAGTGATCATTAAGGCCTACTTAATAATTTTCTTCCCAGCCGACATCAATCATTTGAATTGCATTCTAAAATACACATAGATCATGTTCAGATATTTGAAATGATACTGATGATTTGCTTAAACAAATCGTATCTTTAAAAAAACAATTTTGGGGTTATGTGTGTGTGTTATTGTCACTGTCTCCATTTATGTACTGTATTTAATTTTTTAAAAAAATCAATACTTCAAAGATAGCTCCAACTAGCTATCACGGCAATTTAATCCTAGTAAATATCAGAGAGTTGGCTGCATTTTATACAGAAATGTCACAACGAAAGCAGGATAATAAATATATTAGCCTTCCTAATTTTGGCTTGGGGCAGTATGCAAAATAATTTGATGATTTCTTACCAAGCAAAATTTCTGGTTGGATTCCTCCTCCTCTCTCTGCCCCCCCCCCCAATGTATCATTAAGGAACAAAATTTATTAGCAACTTTAGATGCATGGCTGGACACATAAGCACAAACCTATCCCAGTGAGATTCCCTTCACTTCAATGGTGTTTAATATGGCATCTTGAATGCATAACTGTTATCCCCCTCCTATTAAATGAAGATATATTATCCGTATTTGTCTTAAGCATTCTGTTTTAACACTCTGCATATATATTCATTAGCACCTGGAATAAGAGTAGGTTTGCACTTTTACAATTGCTGCTTTTCCTTATTTCCCAGGGCTGGCCTAGATACGAGAGCTCCATGTTTCCTTCTCCTTTGCAATTTCAGTGTCTGTCATTCACATGTAGAAAACTCAGCTCTCTATTTAACACATTGCTGGTGAGAGATAGACATTTACAGGGCCCCTCTGCCCTTGAGCTGTTCCATTAGTGCATGGAAAGCACCTTGCAGTCTGTGACAAGCGCAGCAGATCGGCACTAAATCAAAAATCAGTGCCAGCCAGGGATCTAAGCCACCATGAAGGTCACAGACATCAGCCGCATGCCATCTCAATCCAAACAAAACACACTGGATACAGAGGGATTTTCGCAACTCACAATAGGAGGCAAACATGTCATGTTAGAATAATCCCCTCTAGTAGCGAAAAGGGTAAACTGACCTTTTTTATATAAGCACTTTGGCATCCTTAATCAAACTTTGAAAGAGAAGGGTAGTAATTTGGGGGTACATTTTTTTTAACGCTGCAATTGAAGCTCTGGCTACTGAGCTGCCTTTAGGATGAAGAAGTTATCTTTTTTATAAGATGGGGAATCTAATATTATTATTTAGTCTTTAAAAAGGCCCAATATAAACAGTGGTGCTCATATGTGATGTTCATTGACTAATGTTGCTAATCATCCTGTCAGTTTGAAACGTTTAATTGTTCATGTTTTGTGCGGTTATAGAAAACGATAATGGTGACGTTAGAGAGAGGCAAGCTAATGCATAAGCCATACAGAAATGTGGATGAAAATCATCCTGCCTCTGGGCCCATAAAGAAGGGAAGAAGATGTGCATTTTGTGAGCTCGGGATGTTTTGCTGGAATGCAAGCAACTGAACAGCAGGACTTCCTGGTTTTCTTACTTTTGCATGATTCCATGCACGCACCTCGCCAAAATCTACAGAGGCCATAGGAATGTCTTCTTTGCAGGCTCTTTTCAAAAGGTATGTGCTTCTTTCTTTCCCAATGAATCAAACAGCGGAGACTCCTTCCATGTAACAGAGGGAAGCAATCAGCTTCAGTGAGCTGATTTTGAACCATATCTGGTCAGGTCTAGATCAGGTTGATAGAATGAGAATTAACCATTTCCCTACGTAGCTGCTGTCTCTATCTTGCCACTGAAGCAGGTGTCACTATAAGTAGCTACTGCTAGAAGATGTCAGGTAAAAAAGTGCCCATTTCCTCTCACGGCATTTTAGTTATAGGCCACATCGGGCCACTGTGGTTGCTCCTGGCAATAGAGAAAGCAAAAAAAGTAATGCAGAACAGGTAATAGCGTAACAGCTAATTGGGCTCTTCAATTCTGGCAATCCTGCACTTTTTCCATGCTAAATGCTCGCACTGGTCCAAATTAAGAAGCAAAGTCTTTGGAGGCTTGCTTCAAACCAAGAAGGCTGGTCTTTAAAATTTGCAATGGGATGTCTACTTTCCGTTGAAATAGGAAAGGAATATAACATTTATTCACTCAATCATGACCTCTGTGCTGCCTTTCAAATCTATCCTTTTCAGGGGTGGGTTCTACTTACCTTTACTACTGGTTTGCAACAGGGCTGCATGCGCGCACTTGCTTTGCTCGTGCACACGTGCGCTCTTCTGCACATGCACAGAAGCGTTCTGATGACATTGGGGTCGGTGGGCAGAGCCTCCTGCCAGTTTTACTACCGGTTCTATAGAACCGGTGCGAACTGGGGCAACCCACCACTGATCCTTTTCTAGTTGTAAGACTGGAGTACGGCCAAATAATAAAGTTTCCCTTAGGTCAAACTTGTCTCCTGATGACTTGATGAACTCAACCTTGCTGTTTTCTTGAGTAAGGAAGTGATGTGGCTTTTTCTCATAATATTTTTCAGTGTCTCAGTCTAACATATAACTATGGGATTTCCTATTTATATCTCATCTAAAAGCTAACTAGGATTTACTCTGACCCACCATGGTTTTCAGGACCCCATATGATGTGCAGATCCAGCCACCAAAAAATGGCCAAGTCAGATGTAATACCTTTTAAACGTTTAGCAGCTTCTGCCTATATATCATAGGACTCTTCCAAATTTTTCCAAGTCCTACAAACTTCCTTCTGTTTCTTCTAGAATTCTACACACAGAAATGCAACATGGTAGGTGATTTAATGAAGAAATGTTTCAAACTTCTTGCAAAATGATATATTGGGAGAGATTCCAACTTGAAAATGTCCCCCTAGTCAGTATTTATCATGAGTCAATTAATCTCTCTGGAAGAGGAACAATCCCATAATAGTAGCAATAAACATGATTTTATTGATTTGTCAGATTCCAGCATGGTTTTTGTTATTGATGATGTTCCTTTATCCAAAGTGAAATCATCCATGCATTTGTCTTCTCCTTACCCAAATTAAAATATATCCAAACAAGAAGTTCTACTAAAGAACTGTAAGTAGTACCTTACAGATGCTGTCAGAAGATAATGGATCCTTGTTCCAAATTTAGCAGTAGTTCTTTAATCTGATGCTTGCTTCTTTGGCAGTAAATGTCTTTCAACTCTGTAATTTCAAGAACACAGACATCAGTTTTGGCTGTTGTTCAGCTTGGAATTGTTGAACAGCCTACATTAAAAGACTAACATTACCATTAAGCAGAAAAAGATAGATCCCACTAAATGTTGGAAGATAAATAGTAGAAATTTCCCAAACTAGGCTCCCCTGCTTCCCAGATGTGGTGAGAGAAACTGCCCATTCATCAACCCTATGTATTTAGGTAAGATTCAATGACCTGTGGTGACATCTTTTATATATAGAATGTATATGTGAATCATGAATGAAAATTACATTTATTACATCTTCTGGATTCAAGGCAACCTGTGTTGCTGAAGGTGAGGTCTTCTGTAATTTTTCCTCACAACAATCATATGTGGTAAACTGGGCTGAGAGACCATGCTTTGCCCTCAAACACCTAGTGATTTCCATGGTCTATTTGAAACTCGAACTTCGTCTCCCTAATTCAAGTCAACACCATCATATATTGACTGTACTGTTCTTTGACCATGGATACAGAATACAATGGACCTAGTCAAGTAGGTATAGCTCAAGCAGAGAAAATGGAAGCATAAACTAAGCTTGGTTCTATTAATTTTGCATGCACGTTTTGTGACTTAGCGGGTGGCTCTGTTTGTTTAGTTCATGGCTCTATTGTATTAACTCAACAAATGGGTTGTTTAGTGTGAATGCAGATTTGTCGCAGATAGCAGCAAAAAATGTTATGTTCTTTGCCTCAATTTGTGCAGACAATTCCCTTGAAATTGCCACTGAGCCAGTTCAACACATCAGAGGGGCCAAGGTTAGAGAAAGAATTAAATATAACAGAAATACTGTTAATGCATTGTTTTGTTTTTGCCCTTTTGCACTCTATAGGTTAATACTGCTATTTGCTCTGTGTTAGCTATAGAGCTAATGGTCTCTGTTTGTATTGTAAAGATAACAGATTAATTGTGAACTAAGTTCTTTGGGACATGAATCTTTAGCTCCTGAAAGCTAACTTGTAGATAGATCCTATGCAGTTTCCTTGGAGGTAACTCTGACTGAATATACATGGATGCATATGTTATTCATTTCAAGGTAAGTAACATTATACAAAGCAATAAGAAGAAAATAAATAAAGAAATAAGAAGTATGAAACAAACAAAAATAAATGCATGAAAAAGAAAAAAGAAAATATTAATCCCCATGTTTATAATTTACTCCTTTCACATTTCAAATAGTGATTTCCTATATGACTTCACTCAACCATGATAACTTTGGTCAAAACTGAGGCTTTTGCATACACACACACACACACACACACACACACATATACATACATACATATATACATACATACATATATTTATATATGGATTTTATTTTTTAACTTTTTATTAGATGTTTCTTACTGTTGTGAGCCGCCCTGAGTCCGGCTGGAGATAGGGCGGCATATAAATCTCAATAATAATAATAATAATAATAATAATAATAATAATAATAATAATAATAATAATATATTAAGTTAGAGAAGGAATAAATCAGAACATCAACTTTAGTGGTAGCCATCCCACCTACAGTATTTCCTGCTAACAATGCAGTTCCAGTCACCTTCTGATACATTTTGGCCAATATGCCACAACACAACCAGTGCTCAGATTCACCACAAACATGCTCATGCTATATTATACAAGCTACATTATGATCTCTAAACTAGAGACAACTTTGCAATTCAACTTATCACCCCACAACCCGCCATTAGGGCTTGGCAATGTCCAAAGAGGCAAGCTAGTGGTCAAGGTATTGTGATCCAAGCCCAGGTCCTTTGTGTGTTGCATGTACATATAAAGGGGTGAAGCTTTGAGGACAATGTCACAATACTGACCTCGCCTGCTTTGACTCACACATCCCTCTGCACACACTGCTTTATTTAAATCATGCTGAATTATTCACTGACCTTCTGCAGAGTAAACCTTCTTCAGCCTAGATTCTGTATCTCTGTAGCATGTTCTTGGGATTAAACCTCAGTGAATAATGTAGGACATGTTTTCAGGCACAAAAATTTAAAGACTGATGTTTTAGCAAATTCTGTTTTCTAATTATATCTGTTCAAGAATCCATTCTTACATACTTCTGCATTAACTTGTGGTTTTTCTTTTAAGAAAAAAAGTGTAATTATGTATTTAAGTCAGAATTTTTAAATATATTTTCGTACAAAATGCATATTTGCAAAAGTAGCATCTCAGGATGGTTTTTGTTTCTGATATTTCGTTGATCTGTGCTTTGTTGCACAGAATTCAGAGAACCATTACAACTTTCACCAAGTTCTGGTCCACCTGCAAAATCCAGAGAAGCATGAAGTCTCCAGAATAACTCTGGTCTGATGGACCCTGGATTAGTTCATTTTAACGTCCCGAAGATGGCGTTCTCCAAACATCCCTGTCCTCACTTAGCTCTTAGAGTGTTTTTCTAGTGTTTTCAGATAAATTGGGAAATCCCATCTGGTAGTCTACGAAGGGCACTGACAGCTTGTGGGTTTCTTAATTCTGCAAGAATGTTCATGTAAACTATTAATGAAATTATATTTAAAAAGAAAAATGTTCCTAGAATCCTGCAACATTTTAATGCCTCATTAAAATCATTAGTAATGCTAATATTAGAAAGAACTCCCTTCATCTTTCAGGGAACCCCAAAATAAATCATAATCAAACATTTGCTAATGCATAGGCAGGGAAATAATTTATATGCTACTGGCATATAGGCATCACGTCCTCCTCAAAAGATGAGCTGGTAAGGTCATACTGTTAGAAAACACTGGCAACCATTTCTGCCTCTGGAAATTCACTGTAGCCAATATTCTCTTTTCATTTTAATTAAAAATACTGAATATTGTTTATGTTTTTTTTATCTATGAGAAAAATATATAGTGAACCTGTCATCCAACCGAAGCTTTTGTGGAACAGTAGATGCAAACAATGACATGCTTCACTGACCTGAATGACTTACAAAAGCCATTTATATTCAGTACTCTCATTTAGGCTATCTTTAAAAATGAGTAAGAGACATATATTAATAGCAAGAAACTGAGAGGGTGATTGCATCACTGCCCATCTCCAGACTTATTGCAACACTTCATTCTCCATCAGTTCAACTGACATGGCAGTGTAAATGTCGTATATAGTAGTCCGTTAAAATTTTACTACAAGAAGAAGCACAGCTTGCCACAGTTATCCCTTTGAGGTCCAACTTTTTCTTGGCAAAAAGGATTCCTCCCTGTGTTGCATATTCTCCAAGGAGAGAAGCACCTTCAAAATGCTTTCTTGAAAAGAGTTTTGCATAGAAACCCTGGCATGACGTTGTAGTTGATGGACATGGGTTTTATTTCCTTGTGCTGCAGATCCTCAACAGATGTATGAATTGGGCTGTTGCCATTTAGTATGTGGCATAAACACAGAACTAATGACCAACTAATGTAGGATTTGATCATGATATATATAAAGATGGGATAGTGTGAGAGCATTGCACAAAATTGTTCATTGTATGTAAAGATCTAGCGTATAGCTTTTTCAGGGTTTTTTTTTATGCACGAGAATTTTGCATTATGTGATCCTATACATAGTTGCTTACAAGAAAACTTTATTGAGTTTCATGGCCTCACTTCTGAGTAAATACTCATAGCTTTGCATGCTGCCTCTCTCTTCTGAAATAGAGATGGGTCAGTAAATATGAGAAGAAGAATGTGTGCCCAAGTAGCAATTGTTTTCAATACATTTAGAAGACTGCCTTATTTTTTACTGTGAAAATATAAATGCATTACAGCAAGAAAGTAGGTCTTAGAAAGGATTCACCAGAATCATGCAACATTCAATAGAAACCACTCCCAACAAAAGTGCATGGGTTAAAGCCTTATGTATCCTGCAACATATGGGATGCAGTGGCTCAGTGGCTAAGATGCTGAGCTTGTCCATCAAAAGGTCAGCAGTTCAGTGGTTCGAATCTCTAGTGTGGCGTAACGGGGTGAGCTCCCGTTACTTGTCCCAGCTTCTGCCAACCTAGCAATTCGAAAGCATGTAAAAAATGCAAGTAGAAAAATAGAGACCACCTTTGGTGGGAAGGTAACAGCGTTCCATGCGCCTTTGCCGTTTAGTCATGCCGGTCACATGACCACGGAGACGTCTTTGGCTCTTTGGCTTTGAAACAGAGATGAGCACCGCCCCCTAGAGTCAGGAACAACTAGCACATATTTGCAAGATACTAGCACATCTTTATCTTTATCCTGCAACATGATACATGATGGACTGTGCCAGTTGTTCTAGAACCAAAATTTGTGGAATTAAAAAATTATTTCAATCCTTTACAATCTGGATTTAGACTTGAACTTCAGACGGAAACAGCTTGATAGATACACTATACGGGAGACTAGATAAATGTAATGCACAAAAATGAACTCAAATTCCAAAGAATGAAAACACTGTTCTCAGAATCTTCATCTTGGAGCAAAGGGCCATTGAAAAAGAATGATTCTAAATGCCTCCCAAAACATCAGAAAAGTAGGAACCATGCAAGTTACTAGTCGTAATATATTCTAATCTCCAATCTCCATTTGGGAACGGCCTACATTCTCTGTCTTTTTTTCTTTTTTAATATACCCAACTTTGGTATTTAGCTGGTTTGGTTTTTTTGGTATCTCTCATAAGCCTCAATTCATTCTGAACTGATTCTTTCTGACATAATTACTACAATTTATGGAACCTATTTTGTATTTTTCTTTGGTAAGTCTCCTTTCCATTTCCCATACATGTCCCACTTTTCTCTGAAACATTTTAGAGCCCTGCATGTATTCAGGCTAGTCTCTGTCTAGATTTCTTCCATTTGTCTTCCTTATGAGAATTGTTTGCAGTTATATCTTCAGTATCTCATTTCATAGAATTTCCCAACCTTCCTGGACATTCTTCTCTTTGGGATTTCAATCATTGGATGCTACCTTAATGTCACCAGAGTTCATCAAAACCTGAGCTTCTGAAGTCCAAGTTGCATGTTGGACTCTTAGTTCTTCCTCCTTTCATATCACCAGTTCAATGCTAACATAGCCAGTTTCCACCAAGCTGCCAGTCACTTTCAGTTTTTCAATCTTGGTGGGGATTAGGTCCAAGATAAGAGAGCCTGTTGTTCTTACTTCCACTTCTGACAAATGAAATTGTCAACAAGAAAGGTCAAGAATATGTTGGACCTCTGACTCTTAGTAGACTTAGATTCTGAGAGGTTTGAAAAATGTTTTATCATTCTGAATGACAGACAATGGGTGGGTGAATGGGTAGGTGGGTGGCTGCATGGCTAGATAAAAGAAAGTCAGTAGTGAAATTGAGACAGAGAACTACTAGGGAACTGGACTTTGGTCAGCTCTATGGTTCAAATTAAAATGAAAGATAGATTTGCTTGTATAAGTTTTGTGAGGGCCCTCAAATGCTCTTATCATGCTATGCCATAACAGTTTACAACTGATAATTTTACCATCAATTAGACTAAAATACTTCTTTGTATTCTGTTTGAACTCTCTTTTTCGGGAGCATGCCTATCAGATTGGGAATAATTTTCTTATTTTGTTCTGTGTTAATTTCCATCATTTAAAAAAAAATTGGCTCAGTTACAATTATTTTACAAAAAGTGGCCCATGTTTAACATGCATAGAAACATCCAGTATTCACTAAAATTCCAGATAGTAAAGTAGTACCCAACTGGCATCAGGTTAAATTATAGTCCTGGTAATATACAGTATTTGAATATTTGACCCATTGCCTGGATAAATACCTTGCTGAATTAGTATTCTTCAGTGATGTCCAGTAGTCTCTGTTTCAGTGAACAATATTATACAGTCTTTGAAAATTGTATTTTCATACTTCTGTGCACCCAAGTATCCCAGGTCTTTGCAGGAGGCTGACAATACCTTGTGTTTCCTGCTGAAGTCAATGATAGTGTAAACTGCCATTAAGTTTACTCCCCTGTAAAAAGTGAGGGAGGGAGAACTTCCTTAGAAGTGGCAAAAAAAAAAAAAAGAAGCACTTCCCCCATGGATGTTCTCCCTATAACACTGCCATTCCCTCTGCTTTTCTCGAAGAAGAAAATAAATATATTTAAAATGGAGAACTAAATAGCATAATGTTGTCCACCCATGATGAAATAACTTGCATGGTTAAAGTGTCCCAGCAGAGCCAGATTTTTATCCTAAGAAGCTTATGTTTAAGACACTTCAAACTAGATTCCTGAATATTAATCTTTTCTGCTTAATTTAGTTTTTCTTCTAAACTAAAATGCAATTTAATTGACTCAGACTGTGCAATGTTCTTCAGTGATAGCTCTAAGGCTAAGAAAGTCATTTATTTGGGGGAGAAAATTTAGCCACATTATTCTTATCCAATAATGCACCTATCACAGCTAAAATTAATTGTTCCAATCTAGCAAGCTATGAAAGAAATACAGTCGACAAAGGGTGAAATATGAACATCAATGGTAAGTTTTGAATTTACCCTATTTATCTTGAACGTAATATCTCATGACCCACTAAAATTCAGTTCACAGTGTTTTATGAAAAATAATGGCTGAAATTGAATGTCTTAATTTACATTTAATGCAATTAAGAATGGTTTAAATTATGACTG